AATAATATAAGGCGTGAAAACGCAAATTTTTGCCTAGTTTAGAGGGTTAAAGGATTGTTTTAAATAAGATACAACTAAAGGTTCAAACAAGTTATAGAAAGTTTTTAAAAAGTGTAAAGAGAATCTGTATGTGAACATATTGACTAAATTCAAAAGGGTATTATTTGGTTTTTCCATAAATTGAACATTGGAATAAAAGCACAACAAGGGTGTCTTGAGGCACTGACCTACCCTTTAACACAAATTTGTGAAGGGTTATAAAAGGTTTTTAAGAATTGTACCTCAGAGTCAAACTTGTTAAGACTGAATAAAATTATCTATAAGGTTTAATTTAAAAAGTTGAGGTTGACAATAATAGACTAATGCAAGTGTGAAATTTGGCTTTCTCTTGAAAAAGATTTTTCTTTGACTTTTGAATAAACTCTCAAAATAAGAAGGGAAAGACAAGAAACGGACTGTTTGAAAAACTAGGTCTTCCCTCTTGACGAGTAAAGGCTTTTGCTTTACAACAAATAAACAAACAAACAAAATACGACACTTTGAGTCATTTAAACAGATGACTTAAGGTAACCTGAACTTCTATTAAGTGTTTTGAGCCCTTAGAGCTTCAAAATTGTCTTTCCTAACCCCTAGCTTTTTGATGCTACAGAGGCCCCTGGGACATCCAAGAGAGAGGTAAACAGGATTATTTGACATGTTTACTTACATAGGATTGATCAGGTGGTGTTTGATTTTCAGGTTATATTTTAGTGAAAAATGTTAACGTGTGTTCCAAAAATTGTATGGGATTCCTAGAGTTCTGATGTCTGAGTTTGTGTTATCAATTATAATCAAAGTTATGTGTTAGGTTATCATAAATCACAAAGGTGACTAAATTTCTTTTGTCAATCATATCTTTCACTGTGACTATCCCAGGACATTCTAACATTCATAGATTATTTGTTGTTTTGATCCTCCTCAAGGAATGGATTATAACCCTTGAGTGCAGGTTTCTGCTAACTTTGGAGACTGCGAACAGGAGTTGACTGGGTGAACTGAATAGAAGACTAATCTTTCTTGACTTTTTGCTTGGAACACTGCTGATCCTTATGTTTTGTTTTTCAAAATCAAGGAAGCTTTTGAGTTATTTGTACCTTTTGACAATTGTGGAAGTGAACCAACCAATGATCTCTGACTATAGCTCAGAAAAAATAAGAGATGGGCTGTCAAACTTCAAATGTCAAACTTCAAATGAGGTATACAAATAGAGCCTCAGTAGATAAATCTCTTTTACTGGAAACCCTTGGATAGGCCTCTGAGAGAGAACTATTGTTTTCCCAAAACAACACCCCATGTCAGTATGAAGTAGTTAATGGTCATCATCCCTAATGCCCCTATTCTAATGGCAGTTAGATGTACCTCTTCAGAGGGGGGACTGATGGAAGTAGCTGCTGCCATTATGCTGACTGCAGCAGAGAGGCGCAGCTGGGGTTGCACACTCCATGGAGATGGTGAGATGCCACCTCTTCTGAGTTAGAGCAGGAACTCCCTGGGTGCTGCTGAAGACTCAGGCTTTCTGCTCTACAAAGCAGGCAGGAGTCCTGCCCTCCTAGGTGGGGCTGCAGCCACCCAAACTATGGCTATGAATCTGATCCTCCTTGTGCTCGTGGTAGTGGTGGTGGTGGGGGAACAGGATCAGGCAGGAAAAGCCAAGATCTGGCCTCCTGGGTGCAGCTGCAGCCACCTGACCCATGGCTGCAGACCTGGGCCTCCTGCTCCACAAGGACAAGCAAGAACTCTGCCCTTTTCAAGTTGGTGGGGTCAGAGCTCCCTGGGAACAGCTGCAGCCACCCTCCCATGTAGAAGACTGGGCATCGCTGCTGCCTACATCGTTGGGGTCCTGGGAAGACCCTCCCCCATTTCTGCTGGCTTGGAGGTGTCTGCTCCTGCTGCCTCTCTTCTCTCCCGGCACCCATGCACTGGGAGCTCAGAGCAGGATTGGAGCCAAGCCCTGGAGCCATATAAATGGCAGCAGGAGAAAGTTTCCTTGGCAGAAGAGGAGTCCCTTGTAGAGCCCAACCTTCAGAGACCCGCAGACCAAAGTGGGAAATTCTGGTGCCTCCTCCAGGCCTGACCAGGGCCACCCAAAGACAAACTGGAATGTACTTTCTCCTCTCTGAGCTCCAGAAAAGCCCCGGGCTCAGCCAGAGAGGGTAGAGGATACAGAAACAATGGGATGACCAGCCACAGAGAGGAGCTACCTTCTCTGCCCGGCAGCTTCAGAGACCTGCAGAGACCTCAGAATGACCTGCCTGCACAGAGAATCCACCCTTTCCAGGGCCTCCTCTCTGCTGAGAGCTGAACACTCGATGGGATGACCTGCTTACAGAAAGGAGCAGGTGGGTCTCCTCTGAGCTGTTCTAACACTAAATGAAGATTCTCTTTGTTTTCTTCACCCTTCACTTGTCTGCATACCTTATTCTTCCTGGACGCAGGACAAGAACTCAGGTAAAGGTGCCACTAGCCACAGAGGTTTCCAGGAAGAAAACTGACACCTCAAAGATTCTGTAATACTAATTATTTCATTTACTTCAGGCACAACATGTAAATTCTAACATATTGTCCAAAAAAATCTAATATTGCAGGCAAATTTGAAATAGGAAACAGAAAGTAGAAATGTATAGAGATAGTGATATCAGTAAGATGGAAAAAGAAAAGGTGCTCTATTTTCTTATTCCCCCACAGCAAGAAAATTTGTCAGCCATCCCTGACAAAAATGTCTATATAATAGAGCCAGACATCATGGCTCACACCTGTAATGACAGCTACATGGTATATTGAGGTTGGAGAATTGTTGCAGGAAAGGATTTGAAGACCAGGCTGGGTTATGTGGTAAGACCCCATCTCAAAAATAAGTGCCTTTAATAGAGCTTTGAGATTCAGGAAGGAAGTTGTGAAACTCTCCTAAAGCCCAAGATTGAGGAGTATTCTTTTCAGAAGGCAGGCCCTCATTAAGGTGGCAAACTACAGGACCTCTGTTCCTGGCTAACGACCAGGAAATAGTTCGCCCAACTTGGTCTCACTGAGAATTGTGAACTTACTCTGTAACCATCCTAAACTCCTCCTAGCCACAGTCTGGGGGAGGTTCTGGCCTTCCGGAGGCCTAGAGGAATATACAAATTAATAGCCATGCAGGCAGGTCTGCAGACCTTGGCCTTTACTATGATCTCTGAAGCAGTTCCATGACTCAGTTTCAGCTTCCTGGACCACAGTTCATGGCCAGTTAAGCCTACATAGAAACCCGCACAGTGACCTAGGAAAATCCTCTTTGGTATTCAGTGAAAGCCATACTCATCCACATCCTGATATAAGGCCCACCATATGCAGACCCAACTGCGGAAACCCCACTTAGTATCTGTTCTAAAGATCAAAGTCCTGAAGGATATTAAGTCTGTCTAAAAGTAAAATGGAAATTATAACTACCCAAGCTCCTTGTAACAAGCCAACTAAAGGTGGACCCTAGTGTAGACTCATAAGTCTTGTGACAAACCAAACTATAATCCTTCTCCACTACAAACCCAGAGAGCATCCCATCACCCTGGGGTTCCAACAACAACAACAAAAAAACGATCTTTACCTTCTGAAACCAGTTTATAAAAACTTGGAGAGGTGTTTGCTCCTTCAAATTCACAGACACCCATGGAAAACTATATTGTGCCCATTGTCAATGCTTCTATTTTAACATAGCACTGAAAGTATGTGGCAGAGTAAGTAGTCAAAAAGTTTTCAAAAGCCATTGAAGATTGAAGACAAATAAGTAAAAAGTTGCTGTTTCTAGATCATATTATCTTATACATAAAAAACTAGAAACACTACATTAAAACCTGTCTAAACTAATATACTCAGTACACTAGAAAAATAAAATTAAATTACAAGTATAAGTTATGGTTCCATACACTTAAAACAAACTCTTTGATATAATAGAAAAACAATCTATTTGGAAGAGCATTAAAATAAACTTCTGATAACAAATTCAACCAGATGTAAAAAAATCTTCACAATGAAAGATATAAGATATCAATGAAAGAAATTAAAGACACAAATAAATTTGAAAATTTTTATTTCTATGGATTCAAAGAATAATTTTTTTTTTTTTTGAGACGTAGTCTCACTCTGTCACCCAGGCTGGAATGCAGTGGCGTGATCTCCACTCACTGCAAGTTCCTTTTTTGTATTTTTAGTAGAGATGGGGTTTCACTGTGTTAGCCAGAATGGTCTCGATCTCCTGACCTCGTGATCCACCCGCCTCAGCCTCCCAAAGTGCTGGGATTACAGGCCTGAGCTACCGCGCCCAGACAAGGATAAATATTTGTAAAGTGCCATATTATCCAAAGTAATCTATAAATTCAATAAACTTATCAAAATTTCACTGGTATTTTTCTCACATTAATGAAAAATACCATTCTAAAATGTATATGAAACTACAATAAACTTTGAATAACCAAAGCAACCTTAAGGAAAAAGAACAGAGCAGAAGGACATCATACTTTACAATTTCAAACTGTATTTCAAGAGTATAGTAATAAAAACTGGATGAACTGTGTAGAAAAATGAAAAACAAAATATAGAACATAAAGCACTACTTACCTGTTTTGGACATAATGCTAAAAGAGAATTTAAAATAATAGTTTAACATAGCGGTTTCTCAAAATTATGCAGACATTTGTGTGTCCCCCAAAACAACGGAAAAGTGGCCAGATTTTGCAGTCTCTTATACTTCATGAAGAGGACTTTGGCTCTCATTGTAAACTTGAAGGAAGATCACCAAAGAGAAAGTCGAATCTTTAGAAAATTTAAAAACATAAGACAGAAGGTGTCCTTGTGTGACAGTAAAATTAAAAAAATCCTCAGGCATCCCAGAAACTCTTTCCTTTGGAACACAGCTTCCCAAATCACATTTTAAGGACTGACTTTCTCTTTGACTTTTGGACCTCTCTTCTGTTGCATTCATTCTCACATACCTAGGGGTTTGGCTACAGTCTCATGTCTCTTCATATTCCAAGGCTCTTTTCCTTGCTCCAGATAGGTGATCAGGTCTGGCTTAGAGGAAGCAATACCTGTTTTATTAAAAATAAATAACATGAATATTGCTCATATTCTTCAATTCTCAAGCTAGTAATCTGCTCAGTAAAGATGATGTAATAGAATATTCTAGTAAATTAATCCCAAAATAGTAATTTATAACAGAAATTTCTGTATCTTTAGAAAATATTTTAAATTTGTATGTTCTTAATTTCACTACCCAGTACTACTGAATCAAAAACTGGTGGTGGAAGGCCGGGCACAGTGGCTCACACCTATAATCCCAGCACTATGGGAGGCCGAGGCAGGCACATCACCTGAGGTCAGGAGTTAAGAGACCAGCCTGGGAAAAACGGTGAAATCCCATTTCTATTAAAAATACAAAAGTAGCTGGGTGTTGTGGTGTGCGCCTGTAATCCCAGCTACTCAGGAGGCTAGAGCAGGAGAATTGCTTGAACCCAGGAGGTGGAGGCTGGAGTTAGCCAAGCTTGCACCACTGCACTCCAGCATGGGGATAACGCAAGATTCTGTCTCAAAAAAAAAACAAAAAACAAACAAACAAAAAAACTGGTGGATTTTAAGGTGGAGGAAACAATATTTTATGCCACCAACCTTCAGGCATTACCAATAATCTAGAGTGAAAAACACAGATCAGCTCAGGAATGTGGAAAATTCAGATCAAGATGAAACGTCTTGAAGATATTCCTCTCTACACAGACAAATCCCCAAAATTTATTTCAAAACAGGAACCTGAAACTCATTTATACAAAGCAAAAACTACCCAAAAAATTCTACACAAAAAATAAATAAATAAAACCTTTAGAATATATTATGAAATGTGTATTGAAGTTATTTTTACCGAGAAAGACCAGGTTTCTGTAGTTCTCTAGCATCACATCTCTATATAAATTCTGTTGTGCAGTGTCCAGGCATTGCCACTCTTTCAGAGAAAATTCTATGGCCACATCCATAAATGTCAATGGTCCCTGAAAACACACACACACACATATTTACCAAGTGGCCATGGGTAGAATTTTTAATTTGACTCAAGATGAAATGAGAGAGTAAAGAGAAGTGCTTCTAACTTATAAGAGTGAACACAATTCATAAAGTAATTCTTAACACAGAAATATTTTCTAATATATTCTCTAACTCTGTGTAAAGAGAGAGGCATAATCCACAACATCAGTGTATATATAATAGTTTTCTGGATTATAACATATAAAATTCAGGGCATAAACATAAACATACATTTCTGAGTGCTGTATTTACATCACACAAAATGAGCTGTGTATATTTTTCAGATGGAAAAGACATGTTGAGTTAGAAGGCACCTCTCAAATTTCAATGTATATAATGAACTGGAGATCTTGTGTTGCAGATTATTTTTTTCAGAAGATTTGGAATAAAGTCTGAGTTTCTGAATTTCTAACAAGTTCACCAGTAATGAAACTGTTTTTGGCCTAATAAGAATATTTTGTCAAACATCCAGTAAATGAAAGAACCTGTTTTTCCCAGTTTTGCTGGCCCATAAACACAAGTAAAGAGATTTCTGCAAATTGGCCATGTAACCCTAATTAGAAGCCTAGGCTGATAACCACTTAGCTAAGAATTACCTTACATGTTTGAATGACCTTATAAATCTCTTGATAATTTTGGCCCCACTCTAGATAATGCAATTCTGAAGGTTTGCAAATGGTCCATAAATGTGTGTTTTAAACAAGTCCACTGTCAATGCTGATGGTGCTCCCCCTGGGCTCATCATTAGATTAGTTAGAGAAAGCAGGTACAGCACAGAATCCCTTACACTCAACACTCTTGTCACAACACAAATAATTTTGGTACATATGAAGACAACCAATCTCCATCCTACAATATCATATTCTTTGTTGGCTCTTTAAAGTTTACAGAGAAAATAGAAGGCAGCAATGTCTGAATAAGTCTGCATTTGGAAAACAACATGTACACACGTACTAATGCAATGTTTATTAAGCAAGTACTATGTGATCAAGGGTATGTTACAGAGAACTGTGTTGGGAATAATGTATTATGTGATTTAATCTTCGTAATACCCTGGGGTTTAGTACTAAGTGTCTAATAATTACCATTATTAAGATAAAGTGCCTATCATTTTTATTTACTTTTCTGTTTCTCAGTCATTGGTTGTTAAAAAATGTATAGAGTAAAAGCTAAATATAGACAGATGAGAGGAATACAGAAAGGAAGAGGTTAATGTAGTTCAGCAAAATTTTTACTGTATTTATATTTACTTTCTTGTGACTTGTGGAGCAACTACTGGATATGAAGGCATAGAAAACAAGTTGCTAAATGGAATGTCTCCACAAGCACTGGTTTTAATAGAAACTTTAAAAATTAGCACCTTAAAATGCATACTTGATTTTTTCCATTTATCTCCTTCTGGGTTTCAGGAAATTGTGCATAACAGCTCTAGAAAGGCAGTAGCATTCACTACCCAAAACTCTGATTGATTTTTCCTAATCAGTTCTGTGAAGCAAGACTCCATGGTGGGGCCAGACCTAAATGAAGTCCCCAAACAAGGTGACTCTGAACAGAACTGTGTCAGGGAGACAGCCCTACGTAGAATTCTGCTCTCTATGCCTCCAGGGGTATTTCCAGTTCTATTTTTCCTAAGTTTACCTGAGAGAAACTTAAATGCCAGAGTTTGTGTAATTTTAATCTTTTTTCGTCACTGCCCTGTCAATTTTATAACATAAACTAATACGTAATTTAAACAAATCTCTTAAAGTTTTCTAGGGTAATTTTATTAGAAGATAAATACGTATTCTTAGCAAGGTAATAGAAATATAAAGAGTAATAACAACTCTTCTGTCCCTAAGTATCTCTTAAGATGATATCAGAAGTCACAAAAATATAAAGTGGCCCAAGTAAAGTCTAAGGTTTTTTGCACACATCTATTCATTGTACCAACCATATGATGCTTAATTCAACAATGTGTCTAGTTGCTAGTCTAGACTGAAAGTTCCTGGATGGTAAGAACCATGAATGCTTCAACTAGTTTTTGAATGGCCATAAAAAATATTAAAAATTACTTTATCTATTTGAGTCTCCAGACCTCGTTTTTCACCCAAGTGCCAGGAAACTGAAGAAACTCTCATCTGGCCACCAACCAAAGACCTATTTTGTATAAAGGGAGGAACAAACACAGGCTGACTCATTTCTCTTACACTGAGAGTTAGCAGAATTAACCACCCTTGTCTGACTGACACAGTTCTGCTCTGGACATCCTCAAATTGCTCAGCGACACCCAGCTGATTGTGAGAGGGTTTCCAGTGAGCCTAGGCTGACGACTCAATGGTAAGGCAGGCAGGAGAAACTCAGGCTGATTCTAAATAGAAAATGGAACTGCTCTGGTGGAGCTCCAGAACCTGGATCACTTGTCCTGACTAGCTAGCTCTTGGGTAAGAGGAAGGAGAATACTGTACTCCAGAATCACATTTTACAGGTAGGTGTAGTTGGGATCATGCTGTGGATACTTTCTGGTCTTGATCTCTCACTCCTAAGATGCTTGTTTACACTTGCAGATTTTGCCTTCAGATTGTTTACACCTGGAGCCTCTCACCTAACTATAGCAGGTCACTGGATAAGATCTGAAAACCTCAAAGAGCGGCACTCTAAAGAAACTTCAAGACGTCAATGTTGACATCTCACAATGCAGAAAAAGCCTCGTTGGTTTTCTGTACATTTTCAATACAAAGTCTAACCCTGTCTTGTAATCCCAGGCAGGGGCCAGAACTTAGGTGAAGATTCTAGGTGGGATCAACCTGGCTCTACATTCTTGGGTGTTACAGCAAGTGGAGTACAATCAACGGAGAAAGCCCCTCATACAGGCGGCTCTAGCATTCTAAGTAATATGTCTACCTAAAAGGAAAAAGCTGAAGAAACATGAATATAAGTAGACAAGTTTATTTGGGCCAAACATGAGGACTGTAACCTGACAGCAAAGATTCAAATTGCCTGGAATCTACACTTTAATTAGCAGTAGTTACCAGTGGATTTGTAAAGGTAAAAAAAAAAAAAAAAAAAAAAAGACAGGGCTGATACAAAAATTCTTATTTATTTACAGAAATAACATTAATTATTGGTTGGATATACATTGTGAAGGTTTAGAGTATGGGCTATAGTGTTAGTGTCCAGTGTGACATTAATAGTTTAATTTACAGCTACTAATGGGAACAGCGAAGAGTTTTAAGAAATGAATATAGTTTATAAAGGGGGGAAAAAGACATAATTGTGCTCTTATTGTAATGTCTGGGTTTGACAACTGAAAGAATTTGTATTCCTCAAATAAAAGGTTTTTTACCCCAAATAGAAGACCTAGATTCAGAAAACAGAGCTGCAGGTTTAGGTCCTGGATTGTTGGAATAGCAACAGATGTTACCTGCACCTTTGTGGGCATAAAGAGGAAATTTGTGGGCATTTTAGCAAGAGGAGGAAGGGGAAAGCGGAGAACCTCATGTCTACATGTCATTACTCTGATTGGGTTTTTGGGCCCCGTGGTCTGTGAATTAGTTTCACATCTGAAAACACAAGAGTCACTGAAACAGGTAAAATGATAGATTGCAACCCTGTAAAGTTCGTAAAAATCTGATCTAGCCTCTCTAGAAGTGACTGTACAAGACTATAAATAGCAAATAGGCAGAGACACAATTCTGCCTGCATATTTAGGGGACAGCATGCACTCTGCAGCACAATTATGAGTTTACTGGAAGCCTGAGTGAGGAAGTCTTTGCTAGCGTAAAGCTTAGTTGACATCTAATATATTTATATCAGGTCTAGTAATTCTAGACAGTGTTTGGGAACTATAATTAAGAGAAAAATTCTCACCTCACTTTTGCTTTTGAAGTATAAATACTTCAGCCCGCAAATATTGAATAATTACCTTGGATAATCAGTTTCCCACCAAACAAACTTAGCATCTTTTAGTCTTTATCATTCTGCAATGCTAAATTTAATCCTATCTTAGTGCTCAACTTTTGTGTGCTCTTACAATGAGCTTTAATCTAAACAAATCTGTGTCCACTTTAAAAGACTAAGAACATGAAACATGGCCAGGCGCGGTGGTTCACGCCTGTAATTCCAGCACTTTGGGAGGCCGAGGTGGGCGGATCACAAGGTCAGGAGATCGAGACAATCCTGACTAACACGGTGAATCCCCATCTCTACTAAAAATACAAAAATTAGCCGGGCGTGGCGGCGTGTGCCTATAGTCCCAGCTGCTAGGGAGGCTGAGGCAGGAGAATGGCGTGAACCTGGGAGGCGGAGCTTGCAGTGGCGACAGAGTGAGACTCTTACAAAAGGAAGGCAGGCAGGGAGGCAGGCAGGAAGAAAGGAAGGAACGAAGGAAAGAAGGGAAACAAACCTTTGCCAGACCAAAAATAAAAAGCAAAGAATCTGAGGCCCTAAGTGAATACTACCCTGAGTCAGTAAAAATGAAAAACAGGTTTATTTAGCTGTTACAATTATTTACACATATTTTTTTTAAAGCACAGAAAAAAACCTACATATAATCTAAATGCTTTAAGGGAGATGAACAAAATATCCTCCCTGATTTTCAGGTAGAAGAATAAAGCCACTTATTTCTCATTTATATTTTGCCCGAAAGCACCCAGGTCTCTGAATATGTTTTTGAACTCTTGGATATCTGAATTTTAGTAGACACTGGATTCAGGCATCTAAGGAGTAACCCTGGGCAGATGGTGCACTTGGAAGAATGTTTATGGGGTAAAAAGCTAAAGAGGAAACGTGTTACAAAAAGTCCATGGTCGGGCCGGGCGCGGTGGCTCAAGCCTGTAATCCCAGCACTTTGGGAGGCCGAGACGGGCGGATCACGAGGTCAGGAGATCGAGACCATCCTGGCTAACACGGTGAAACCCCGTCTCTACTAAAAAATACAAAAAACTAGCCGGGCGAGGTGGCGGGCGCCTGTAGTCCCAGCTACT